TGAATGTCAAGAAGACCAAGTTCCTGAGCTCCGAAGAGGGTGCAGAGCCGATCGTGGACGGCCATGGTGAGACCATCGAAAGAGTGGAGGACTTCCGATACCTTGGGAGCGATCTGGCAGCCGACGGAGTGTGGATCAGGCAGTGAAGGCACGAGTCAACGCTGCATGGATGAAATGGAGGGAGTCCACTGGAATCCTCTGCGATCGAAGGTGCTCCAGAACGCTCAAAGGGAAAGGTGTACCGGACAGTGGTAAGGCCTGCGATGCTATACGGCAGCGAGTGCTGGCCCCTGAACAAGAATCACGAAAGGCAGCTTCACTCCGCTGAGATGAGGATGCTGAGGTGGGCCTGCGGCTGGACGCGACTGGACAGGGTCAGGAACGAGGATGTCAGAGCGGTCATGCAGACTGCCCCTGTCCAGCTGAAGGTACGGGAACAGCGTCTGCGATGGTATGGGCACGTGCTAAGGAGGCCACAGGACCACCCAATAAGGAAAGCAATGGACTTCGAAGCGCAAGGCAAGCGACCGCGAGGTGCCCCAAAGAAGAGGTGGAAGGACGTAATCAAGAAGGACCTAAGTGAAATCACGGCCACAGCAGAAGATGCCCTAGACAGAGCGAAGTGGCGACGACTGATAAAGACAGCGGACCCTGCGACTGCGCGGGACTAACGCTAGGGAGAAGAAGAAGAAGAAGTGCGTAATTCATGTTGCAAAAATCAAATTGCCACTGAAGTAAAAAGAAGTGAGCAGCCTAAGCACCGGAATGCAAGCCTCGTTTTTCAGCATTGGACGAGTATACGCCCGATGAAGAGACATTGTGCGCCAAGATGAGAGACTATAATGACAAGATGACGCATAAAGCAAAACTTTTGCGGGTCGTGCGTGCAGCGATGCGAAGTACTAATCAAGCGCGCCCATTGATTTTCGCTCTTCCTTATTTCTCAATATCTTTAGTGCTGACAGGTGATTGCTCACTCGAAAGCAAGTCAGACCTGGTCAGTGATAGAAAACCAAGGAAATAGTTTTAAACCCGAGAAATGGGACCCTTTACATATTTGATCATTGATTTCCGCATTGATGCTCCTCTCATCAGGGCTGCTCTGCTGAATGCTAACGCTCTCTCTGCTAAACGCCTAGAAGCCCAGACAGCGAGAGCAAGTGTACTCCGCCGAAAACGCGCCAAAGTGCCACGGGAAGGCCATGCTAGATCGTCACAGGCATATCCTCTGATGCGAATCGCGTTTCGGTCTGCAACCTTGTTAGGTCCGCCTACCGCTCCACAAGGTAGGTTTCCCTTCCAACTCAATGTCCTACAACAGAGCTCAAATCTCGTCGTATGAATAAGCAGCAGTCAACAGAACCACAAAAAATATTACAGGATGGTCCAAAGTTATGAGGCCCAATACATTGTGTCGTTAAAAACACACGGTACCTTGATGGTACACACAAATTTCATGGAAGTGTTTGTAACTCTCATCTCGAAGTAATTCTAAAACAAAATTGATATCTGCCACCTTTACACAAACCTTCAGATGAAGGGCCTTTCTCAGCCTTCAGCAGAAGGCCTGGAACGTTTCAACACGCCTCAGCTGCGGTGGCACGCGCAACTGAGGCGTGTCCAAATGTTTCCAGGCCTTCTGCTCTCTCTGCTTTCTTCAGGGATCAAAGTTTTGTGGGCATTTATTTGCGCTTGCATCCAGGGTGTGAAATACAGAAATCTAGAGCTATTAGGTGGAAGGTTCCATTGTAACAATTCTTCGAAAGCAACGAACTCGAAAAATCGCTTTTAGAGAATTTTTGCTTTATTCTTGGGTGCTCGGTCCTGTAAAAGTCCCAAGTAGACTACTCAGTGGCTTTCTATCCACTACAGATGTGGAGTCTTTAGAGTGTCTGGCTGGTTTTCACATCAATTTTTTCATTTTGGGAGTACGAAAGTCGACAAGGGGAGACCTAGTTTCTGCATCTGATAATTATCCTGGTGGTAACTGTAACTTCGAGTCTCCGAATTTTCCATCTGTGGTGGTTCCAAACTTATTGAAGAGTTGAACTGTTGCTCATAAGAGCTTCCCTGATACGTTAGACTGCCGCTAGATGTAACGTGCCAGAGCCCCTAGTGAGTTCAATTTGAGGACTGACGTAAGGTGATGTAGTTATTTCACTAGTTTTGAGAACTGCATGAAATTTGGTTTCATTAGGAAGACATTGTACCCTCTCACATAGTGCACAGAAAAGGAGATGAAAATGGAGCGATCGGAAAAAAGTGGATATGACTGCGCGCGCACGCGGTCCTCATAATTTTGGACCACCCTGTATATAAACCTTTCTATATAGTTGTGTTCTTTTTAGGAGACTGCCTAGAAACCCGATTTCATTAAGCTTCGTATGGTCAGATTTTCAGAATTACCGTACTCACGTGTGTAGCTATCCACGAGGATGTAAAAGCCCCTTGTGTAGAACGTTGTAAGTATTCAGAAAGGAGAACGATACCGTCACTGATTTTGCGAAGTACAATGCCACAGGCTCATCATCAGTAACATGCCGCCCGCTATAAAAGATGTGCTTTTTGATATGACATATACACGCGGTGCACAATAGATTGCACCCCATAGAAAACCTAATTTTCTTGAGAGCCGGAAACTTTTGTTGCTTCTGCCTATACTATAGTTTAGAAATAGACGAAGGAATAATATCTGTGATACTTATTTGACATTACGACTTTTTTAAAGTTTGTGACAACAATTTTTCACTTTTTGAGGCGGTGCATAATAGATTGGACGATATGTATTGTGGTCATAAAACAAGACCTAAAGTCTGCTCCTCCCACCTAAGTATGAGGCAGCGTTCCTTCTTCTCAGTGAGCTTGGGACTGAAATCAGATTTTGAATCAGCGCATTCTATGCAGCAGAGGCGGTAGAGTTTTCCACTCCTTTGTAATGGTATTTCTTAGCGGCTGAACATTGTCATACGCTTTCCCATCTTACGCGTCAGTATACCCTATGTATTCCCGATAGGGTTTGTATCAGAATTACATACCGGCGATGAAAATAATGGGTTGTTGTTAGATTGAAAGTGGGACAGAGTGCTTCACGGAGTGTGGTTTGAAGCGTTCTTTTGCACGAAGATGAAGTGTTTGTTGAAGTCTCAAGAAACGAATGGTACCAACGTGTTGTTGAGAAGTGACTGATAGTTATGGCTTCTCATTCACAAGAATCAAAATGAATCTCAAGGCTACCATCACTAGAGGATGCCCAGCAAACCATTTAGGAGAAGGCACCAGTAGTGGTTCACTTCTGCAAGAGCGCCAGTTCGAGTGCCGTTAGCACGACTCATCTCCGCCGACCAAAATGTCATCGAAAGAAATTACCGTAGGGAAAATAGAAATGAGAAATTTAAATTTAGTATAAAGCTGGAAGTGTGCCCAGAACACTCCGCTGCCCAATTTCTGTTATTCTCAATCCTCGCAAGAGGGAGCCGCTCATGTCGACGATATTGAGTCAGGCGTAGTGTCGGCTTTATTTTTTGTCGAATTATGTGGTCCGATATTTTCAACATACGAGACACGGTCCTTTTCAAAACGACAATCCCGCAAGCGACAACCGATTCATAGGCAACCTTTGTGGAACTCAATGCCAAATTAATCAAGCAGCGCCTGCCGCGCTCAGGAACAACCGACTTCTGTACCACCTTGTTCTTAAGAACAGTTTGAGAATGATTCTTGATCACAGTTGCAACTGTACTCCTGGGAATGAAGGGTTCCTTAGAGATTTGGAGATCACCCTTGTCAAGAAGAAGTTACGCTTCACTTCGAATCCAGTCTTCGTTTGTGAAACGCGTATACTTCACATAATACGTGAGTACATGCAAACTTAAAAAGCAGGCAAAAAAAGTCGGAAAAATGGAATATCTCAAATCGTCCAATCTATTGTGCACCGCCAAAAAAATCAATATTTCACTCTAAAATTTTTCAAAGACAGTGTGTCTAACTGAATATTGTGTCAACATTATTTATCTACTTCCCCAGGAAATATATCAACAGCAGAATCAATAAAAGTTTCGGCCTCTCTCAAAAACTAAGTTTTTTATAGGGTGCAATCTATTGCTGCACCGGGGTGTCATATTTATCACATAATAGAGGCGAGGTGGTACGTATAAATAAGATCTCTAGCTAAGAGCGAAGTAGAGCTTGTTGAAGTGCGCAACATTGAGAAAAAAATCCCATGGAACGGCACCAACAAAGTTCGGAGATGTGGGAGTGCGGTTGTCCATCTGCAGGAGAACAGGCCGTAATAAGATTTCTAGGGAACGCAGCTCCTAGGCCAGGGTCAAGCCGTCACGTTGGACCGATTTCGAAAATTTTACGACCCCCTCCCCCTTCTAGAGGGCCTCGATACGACCCCCCCCCCCCTCAGGGTCAACCCTTCACCACCCTCGCCTGCCATCGCCATCATGGGGCTCATGACCAGTCGGCACAGCCCAAATCCCGCCCACTTTTCCTCTAAAAGTACCGTCCAGCGGGGGGTATATACCTACCACGAAACCGCAAACATTCTCTCACTTCCCCCTCTTTTCACCAACATTTCCACTGCAACATTTCCTAGGGGGAATTATACACACACCGTGAAACGGCAAAATTTTAGCGCGCCAACCAACTGCATCATCACTTCCCTTACTGTAACATTAACGCTACCTCGCGAAATACGACCCCCCCCCCCTTTTCCACCCCAAATACGACCCCCCCCCCCCCACCCCTCGTTGGACTTTGTCCAACGCACGGTTGACCCTGCCCCGAGGACAGGTATCCTGATCAACAATAGCAAAAAAAAAATTCGCGTCATGTATGAATTATACTACCGCGTTCGTTGACAATTCCTTTCACACTGGGAGGCACTTCAGAAGGAATCCCTGAATCTTCTTGTATTGGCATCCACACTCCACCCCCCACCCCCTCCTTGGTTTAGATTGCTTGCATTTGAACAACTGAGTCGCTGATACTGACCTCAAAGAAATTCGAGTTGCTTCTCCTGACAAGTTCAGCCCTTCAAAAATAACCCCTTCTTTTGTGACCAAGTCGTATATAGCCAAACGAATTGCATCCTCGCTCTTGAATGTCACGTTGCAGTACGAGTAGTCGAACGGCGTATAAGGAAATTCTGGACAACGAGGAAAAATGGAATACCGGTCATCTCAAGTTGAATCAGCAATTACAGACCTCGATAGACCTCTTTTGTCAAGATCTGCAAGTCACATGTTTATGATCAAACACAATGTTGTTCGCATTTGTTTTTGACTTGTTTTTGATTGTTAACTGCTGTTTTTGGCCGCAGTTCGCCTTGCGAATGTTTCACAAGAATGCTGGGTTGTGAACAAAACTTTCGCCCCAGGCGGGACCCCCCAACCCCCAAACAAAAAAAAACAAGTCAAAATCAAATGCTAAAGCTTTCAGCCTCGCGGTCATTGCCGATATCGGCTAACCGGCTCAACACGTTATACGTGTGAGTGCTGAAAGCTATGGTACGTATACCATGAAAAGCTGAGTTGGAATGAAATGGTGCCCCGGTAGCGTAACTGGTAGCGCACTTGCCCGGAAAGCGAGAGGTGCGGGTTCTAGTCCCGCCTGGGGCGAAAGTTTTGTTCACAACCCAGCATTCTTGTGAAAACATTCGCAATTTTCAGAGATCCCATGAAATTAGCCATTCTCATATAACACAGTGGTCAGTACTCTTAGTCATGGACCACATATGCAAAGTTAAACAGTTGAGATCCCTGATAGTTTTACTGGAGTGTGGGTCAGCGAAAAATATCTTCATGCGAGAACTAATGTAATTATGGGGGTACATAAAATGGCCATTCGAAAATATGCTAATTGGGCTGGAAGGTTTCACTGTATTTGCTGCGATTTGCTCGCTTATTTCCGCTTATTCCCTTTCCATAAGTTCCCAATTAAGAATAATATGGTAGTTGTTTTCCTTTTCGCCTTGCCCTTCAAACTGATCTGTGTCTTTCTTTCCCTGCCGGCAATGCAAACTACCCTCTGTTTCGGAAAACCAGAAGCGCGTCGAGTGCAGACCACACACCACAAGTGACGGCTCCCCGTAAATCTAGTGATTCATAGTGATAGCTGATAGTTGGTAAATGATAGTTGTAATTAGTGACAACTGATAGAATACAACTGCAACAGGCTAATCATTTCATTGGCAGAAAACATTTACATTTTGTGGAAGGCCGTCGTCACTTGTGGTGTGTGGTCTGCACTCGACGCGCTTCTTGTTTCCTGAAAGACGGGAAATGCGGAATCTCACTCAAAACGGACACCTGCAGAGATCAAGCTTTCTAATTTAGTTTGAAGATAAATCATTTACCGAACAAAACTGTTTTCAGATAGATTCCGGAGTGATAATAGCCATCTGGTTGAGATATTGATTGCATTGTTATAGTCGCCGTCGAATTGACAACCAGAGCCTTCTTCATTTTCACGTGATCCATTGCGTCTCCACATAAACTGCAGAGGGTAGATTGATAAGATATATTCTTGAATAGCTTGTCCTAATAAATTCTTACCCTTGACATATTGCGTCTACATCACAGACAGTTACGCAGTCACCCTGACTAGCTAAAAACTGATAGAAAAACACTGCAACTCCTTGGTTCTCGCCAGCCATCTCCGTAAAGCGATACCGGAAAGTAAAAGTAATAACAATTCTACGGTGATGAGTCATGGTATCAGTCACAAAAGTGCAGTTGCTCCTATTCGAGGTCAACCGTCCGCTGGCCAAAGTTCATTAAGTGATTGGCTGTGATTTTTTAACAGGAAGAAAGGGGAAGGCGTTAGGAGCAGGAAAAGTAGTGTTCGGTGGAATTGCCAGTGTTTTTTGGAAGGAAAAGTTTTTGAAAAAAACGGGAATATTTTACGAAAAAAAGCGCACAATTTTGTTGCGACATTCTCCATACCGCTGCGTGGAGGGAAGTTTTAGGAGGAAATGTACCACGTAAATCGTTTTTTAGAAAAGCTTCCAGAAGCCGTACCAAAGGAAGACTGACTCCAGAGAAGCAGGGGGGGGGGGGCAGGAAAAACTTGCTGATCCAGGAACCTATTAACAAAGTGGTTCATCCCGCTAATATCCCTAAAGGTAGCCTACTTATGTACGAAAAACCAGCAGACGAGCAGGTCTGCACCGCTTTTGCTCAAACGCGTCTACAGTACCCTACCCGGTTTGAAATTCCTTCGAAAATGCTCTGAAACCATAAAAATGAAACATCCGCCATAGAAACATTCATGGCACGAAAAAAAATGTATAAAATGAATGCGAACCCCTTGAACTTTGATGATAATTCCTGGGTTTTGAGGAATATACCACGAGGGGAAAAATCAGTTGGCCAACGGTGTCAAGCATACGAAATGGGCCAATGTTGCCCGTGATTTCCATGTCCGCTGGCTGGTCGATTCGCCCACATAGCCGGGGACCTCATGCGGCGAGTCTTGCGGCATAACAGTCATGCCCCCTCCTCCTATTCTCGTTTGATCAATTCCATTGCCATTCTTCCCGTTATTCCATTCCGTCAGGACCTCTCGTACGGGGAGAGCGAGCCAAGAATAGCAGTCGATGCTTTCGACAATTCTTTTCCTTTTTCTCAATTGGCAGTTTGATTTTGGTTCAAAATTTTATGTTCAATTCATTTACTATTTTATTATAATTTACTTTTCTAAGTTTGTTATATTTATTATTATGATTATTATATTGCATACGCGCACACCGAGCCTGATTTTTGTGGAGATGTGGTTCAGAAAAAGGAATTCTTAGGAGGAAATCTCAACAATTATTCACATTCACCGTTCGTCGGGACTATATGTATGACATTTCGCTTCGTTGATTATGGTATGGAACGATTTCCTTATGGCGTAGCGTGTGCCAATCCGACAAGCGCAAGATCCAGCTAGAATCTCGGGGCGGAATATTGTAACTAATGTCAATTGCGCCTCTCCAATAGCCCTGATTCAGTAGAGCATACTAGGGCCATCCGGCTGACGTTATAAAAGTCTTTCGCTATTTAGATTTTTGATCAAGAAAAGCAAACCTACTTTGAAATCGAGCTTCTGTACGGCTGAGGGTAGCCAGGATTTGTGACGATGGTGGCGCCATTAAGAAATACCTTAATTTGTCACTTCTGTTAGGTCCGAATTGCGAAAAACAAAATAACACCAATCATCACAGCTATGTTTCAAATACTCTTAAATCTCACTATATAAAAGAAGAAGAATAGGAAACACCCGGACCGCGTTCCTATAGTGCCGACCATGCTGATAAGAACGTGGCCGGTGAGCTGTACAAGGTGCTTTATCAGACCAATTGCTCCTCAGAACATCAATTTAGGTAGTCGTGATCGAGAGCTATTTTCTTCAGCAACGAAAGGTTATTCATTTCAGATATTATCTATTCTGCCGAAGTTTTGGAGACGAATCCTTCAATCATCAGCCCTTGCTACTACGCAAGCTTTTCAAAACCAAATAGCATGCAATGGGAGATAGGGTAATAACTTGAACTAGTCTAGACTAAATCATTCAAAAGCATAGTCATTTGATGATAGACGTCATCTAGCCTTCTTTAGTGCGCAACTGTCCTCAAATCGGGCGTCGCTGTTTCAAAAGAGTTTGCTAAATCAAGGTGCTACATTTGTATGCTACTGGTCATAAACTAGTCTAGGCTAGGGCAAAATATCATCATTCTTTGAACGCTCAGAGAGTTATACCTCTCATTCTGTTCTATTCCTTGTACCTGTACGAACGCAGCAAAAGGAGGTCAGACTAGAGGAGTGCCAATAAAAGATTTGAGATTGGAAGATTTGGTGGGCGGACTAGAGTCCGAAATCGCCATGTTCACCAGAGATAGCGCGGATACGCGGAGATCAGGAAGAAAACAATAATAAAATTTGACTTGAGAGGGCAAGTCAAATATTCGTTGGGGATCAAGCCAGATTTGGAATTCTTGTCACACGGTGAGCGATATGAACAGTTGCTGTTCATATCGCTCAAAACTGTGTTGTGCAAGAAACAGCGTGCGTCGCCAACAGGTACATTATACATCGCTGACCATGTAGACTACGAGAACTCTTGCTCTCAAAACTCGAAGAAAGTTGCGGCCAGTCAAAGCTAGAATACTCACATATTCAGAACAATGCCAAGGAACCATTCAAACAAGCACAACGAGGCTTCTTTTAAGGGCTAATTTTACGGAAAGTTTTGTGCTTTCTGAAGATCCTCGATTTTGTTATCCTTTTAGCCATGAAGCTTCAAAAAAGCCTTTCTTAGAAGCAAGTTATGGACACTGGAAAAAACACCAAAACTCACTCAGTTTCGAAAATCTGCCCGCTAGTCCCTCAGAAAAGTAAAGCGAGATTATTTCCTGAACAAGGGGCTCTCCACATAAATTTTGATACTTACTCAGAAGGCTTAGTAATGTAGCATTTTTTTGGCAACCAGAGATGACAGAGAATTAATCTCAAGGATGTTATAAATTGCTGGGAACTTGAATGTGCAATAGCGCGACGAGATGATTGTATGAGAAGTTAACATTCACGATTGGTGGCTTGTGTTTAAAAATTGATTTTGTATTTTCATAATATTCTCACGATTCCACATAACACCGCATTTGAAGGTGGTTATGACTGCTTGAAGGAACAGGTGCTCATTCGCTCGGAAATCAATTTTTGCTTCACAACAAGATGGTTTCATGAACTAGAGAAGAGTTGACAATTTTTTGGAAGTGGAACTTCTTCTCAATGCAAGAAGATACCTGCGCTGTTGACAAATTTGTATTCTGAATGGATTCACGCCGTTTTGGTCATTTTGAAATTGGTTATAGGGTTTGGGTTCCATGATGTTTCCGGTTCTCTCTGTAGGCTTTTTCCGTAGGGTGTGGTGTGCTGTTTTAGCGGGCCCGCTTTCTCAGTTAGACCGTGCAACTATGTGTCTGTGGGTGGTGGGGTATATCACTATACAAGCGCGTCTCGCTCTTATCGAATTTCTGGGACGCGCTTTTTCCAAAGCTGAATCCTGTTGCCTTTTTTGATCTGAGATTTACACGATACTCAACAGCCTGCTTGTGCACTGTTTTCTTGTTTCTCTTCAACTTGCACGGAAAGTGGAATGAAGTTGAGACACAACTATGCAGTTTGCTTTCAGAAGGTCCCTAAATACGCTGTGCAGCTGTATAAGAGAGTCTTTACCGAGGCTGACGTTAGAAGCGTTGAGTTTATCGACAAGATTTGTTGATATCGTGGGACTGATAAAGAAAGCGGTGCTGAGATCTTGGTTGCACCAAACCACATCTAGCATGAGTCAGGAGAGCTTTCGACTTGGCTTAAGTGACGGGAAAGGTTTTTCAACATAGCCGGTGATGATGGGTAAAGCACAAAAAAGTCAAAATTTGGGTGCCATAGTTCTTTTCCACTGTACATCCCCATCTCGAACAAGTTGACTAGTGAGCTACTGAAGGGTGCGCTGCTAAATTGTCACCGACCTGGTTTTGACGACTGACTACACTTCCACAAATGGAGGAACTGCTTAGCAGAAAATCCGTTGAAGCATTGAACGTCATGGGTGACACCATGTCGGTAACGACGTTCGCGCGCAGTTCTGGAGCGCGCCAAACTCCAGCCTTACAACATCCGGCTCATTAAACTGAGTTCTTACAGGCAGAGGGTGTGGCGAGTTCGATGTTTACGTTTCCTATCGAGGGCAAGACGTATTGGTTTTTCGATAGCTGAGATATACGCTGTTGAATTATGCAGAGTCAAAGTCGGGCGGGAAACATTTCTGGTCACCATAATATGTAGTGGATTTCGCGTCCATTCGAATCTGTGGGAGGGCTGCTCGTGACCGCTTCAACGGAAGTAGCTGGACCAGGCTAAGCGAATCGTTAGGATGAAGAATGGCTCGACTATAAACTTCCCCTGGAGACCTTGCAATGGGATTTCCAGTCTATATTTTTACGCGAACTTTCACACTTCGAGATTTGTTAACTGTCATTGTATCTTGGGAGATTGATTATAAGTCACTGGACTTTGGGTGGTGAGACAACAAATTGGACAATTTGAGTTGTAGCTGGGAGAAGTCCGCAACTACTAATGCTCACCCCAATCCATGGCATGGTCCATGGTGGAACAAGGGATGGCCGGGGAGACATGTAACACAAGTGAGGAGAAATCGTCGTTGTGGCAAGTCACACGTCGAACAACGGTGAGCTGCTTATTCGTTCATATTTGTATGGACATGTTATCCTTTTCAGTAGTCATGCTTGATGAGCAGGTGTCTGCATGAACTTTGTAGCTGCCAATAATATGTGTCCGGAAGTTGGCTCCTATTTACTTTTATTTTCACATTACTTCACTTTCTCAGCAATTCGACAAAACCATATAGGTGTTTGAAAAACATTACACTACACAACCAGGCCACCGAAAACAGTCTCCAGCTCTTTGAATCGTTTGCTTCGTGGAATGCGGCGAAGGAAAAGTCGGTTTCATTTAGACATGTCTAAACCATTTGTAAAACCGTAAATGATTCAGCGGAACAACTCTAGGACCAGTTTTCTGCGCTTCAATATTTCGCCTCGTTACGCTTCTGCTGATATTTCTCGGCTAGTCGGAGAGGATCTGAGAAGATGCTGTAAGATTTATTCATCAGTGTGAAGCGATATCGCTCTAAACATAGCGGTACTCTAGCTTTATGACAGTAGTACGGTTTTGGCGGTTGTAGGTCAATATAGGTACAAGGCTCGAATTAGATGTGAGCACAGTGTTGACATCATCCTCTGAGCAGAATCTGAAAATAATGCCTGAAGTCGTACTATATACGTTTTATATTGTCATGAGTTTGTACCTGTAACCAGTGCGGCGTTGATCTGGATGTGTTTTGATTTCTACACCAGCATAAATGCATCCATCGACGGTTACATTTTTAGGAAGCTCACAATTTTCACCTCTACCTTTTTGCCAGCTGGTGCCTTAATTTGCACTCTTGAAAAACACTGCTACAACTCAAGAGCTCACGAACTTTAATCCAATAATTGCATCTCTTGAAGCCATCTCGCTCTTCACTGGCTTTCTCACCATCTAGCTTGTTCTCGAGAAGCGTCCATTCAGTGGTCGCACTGAGGGTCTCCCCGCATCCTGTTGGCTAAACTAATTATGTTGAGAAAGTTGCAGGTTTTATCTACAAAATGGCATTCACCCTTTCGTCGCAAAACTGCCCACCGTATCCACTCGGACAAATACATTTGGAGCAATCACGAGGATGAGCGAATCCACCATTCTGGCACGGTGTGTTCTCGTCCTTGCATATATCTGAAAACGTCCCTACAGAAAAAGTGCTCAGAGTTTACCTAAGGTATAATCTACCAGTGCAGTTGTAGTACATGTTCATCATAAGCAGATCGTAGAAAGCAATAGTTTCAGATCCCAAGGTCTCCGTGTACATAACATCTTTGGGCACCAATGTAAGGCGTTTGTTGATAGAAGCGCTAAAAATTTAAAAAAAATCCATACTGCAGATACCTTTTCATAATTCTTCTACCTTGTGGCTCCATAGTGCAGTACACTTCCGTAGTCATAAGTCAAATTATAGTTGTAGTTAGTCTCCTCGGACTCCTTATCGAAATTGTAGAGCTTTGTTTTTGTTTTCTGAATCAGCCCACAATGACATCAAGCTTCTGAAAAATTCACACATTCTCATCCCGTGATATTTTCGTAAAGACACAACTAGGTGATGAACTGGTCGCGATGTGTCTTGAGTGGTATGCGCTAAAATCCAAGGGCATGAAGAAGCGATTTCGTCGCTGCGACCCCTGTACTTCGGATCTGAACAGAGCGCAGTAGCAAATCGCCCTAGCGATAAACAAGAAAATGTGGAAGCTGCGGTGTTCTTTCTGATGATGTTTTCTCAGTCGTACATGGCATGAATATCGCGAACGCAAGAACGTTCGAAGCTGATACCGTTCCACCTAGCCTGGAGGTAGTGACTAGACGGTCATGTACCAGACGACCCCCCCCCCCCCCCCCCCCCCCCCCCCCCCCCCCCCCCCCCCCCCCCCCCCCCCCCCCCCCCCCCCCCCCCCCCCCCCCCCCCCCCCCCCCCCCCCCCCCCCCCCCCCCCCCCCCCCCCCCCCCCCCCCCCCCCCCCCCCCCCCCCCCCCCCCCCCCCCCCCCCCCCCCCCCCCCCCCCCCCCCCCCCCCCCCCCCCCCCCCCCCCCCCCCCCCCCCCCCCCCCCCCCCCCCCCCCCCCCCCCCCCCCCCCCCCCCCCCCCCCCCCCCCCCCCCCCCCCCCCCCCCCCCCCCCCCCCCCCCCCCCCCCCCCCCCCCCCCCCCCCCCCCCCCCCCCCCCCCCCCCCCCCCCCCCCCACCCCCCCCCCCCCCCCCCCCCCCCCCCCCCCCCCCCCCCCCCACCCCCCCCACCCCCCCCCCCCCCCCCCCCACCCACCCCACACCTCACCGACCCGCATCCTGGCTTCCGGAACACATAAAGAAGAAATGCAACTGAAACAGTGTTATGCATTAGAGCCCTGCCAACATTTCAAACTCTTCCATATTTTACGTGGTTGCTCTTTTTCCGTTAGGTTTCCTCCTCCTTCATTTTGATCCTCGTTGACAGACTCGTACTACTCGTCTGGAACACTAACAAAATCAAGAAAAATCTCACGCAGTTTTGAAATTCCAACATACAGTAATTGCACTTCTTCCTTTTCTTCTCTATATTCTTCCTTTAAATCTTCGTTGGCACCCTCGTGCTCGTTTCCCTGCTCTGCAACAACAACATTTGGCAAAATGTTGCTATCATTTGAAATTCTTTCGTATTTTACTACCTTCATATTCGCTAAAGTCAATACACGTATCGTCCATCCATAATTGTGCTGCTTTCTTGAAGGCCATTCGGGCCTGCTCAGCTAAATACAGTGATGCAAATCTGCAAACCTTCTGAATGCATATTGAGAAGATATGTAACTGACTTAGTTCCGGGTCGAGGTAGTACAGAACTCCGTCTGACCATCTTCTACCAGGATAAGTTTTGTCATTGTATGCCTGCCGTTTGGAACGACTTTGGCCGATATCAGCAGCAAGTTGTTCCTGTTGTTCTCTGAATATGGGGAAAATTTTGCAGAAGATTCTTAAAAAATTGAGGAAATAAACCTGGAAAGGATTATATCTCCTTGGAACAGTGCGTCTGCTACTCCACTCCTTCTGTTGATTTCCTCGATCGAGTCTCCCATTGGTTGCACTTTATCAACAGTTTTTCTTTTGATCTTCTGAAATATTCTACATGCTTTTATTGCCGCACAAATATACTCCGAATAATATTATCCAACTTCCAGCTCTTTTGCAAGTTCTTCTTTCTGTTGTGTGTTCAAAGCGAAATTTTGCTGCATCGATTCCTGTTGTTCTTCCAAAGTTTTCACGAATTTGAGCATGCTAATGTTTGAAGCCTGTGGATTTTTGAAGCATTAGGTAAGGTGAATTTGAGTGTTTCAATTATGTTTTTTATACCTCATAAATACGATTTGCAAGCCTTTTTAAATTGTCGACCTTTTTTTCATTTATGTGGTTCTTGGAGGGCACAGCTATGTCAGTCCTTTCAAAGGCGGCGAGATTGGTGCTGGTGCTCACGCTCGTTGCCGCAAACAGTGCAAGTACAAGAACACTCATTGCACAGATAAAAAGCAGAAAACGTTTCTTGCTACAGTT